GTTTGCCCACGGGGAATAAGATGCAAAACCAGCGCAGACTACTAAAGCTTTGTCTACAGCAGCATCTACCTCAATTCCAGTAGTCACCAATGAATTCCAGCTTCACTGAACCAGAGCAAATCAGTGACCACCCGGAGAAGGACAAGTAACCACCAGCACCATCTGTTACCATTTCAGCTGCTGGACAGCTAAAACTAATGCCTGCACCAAGGTAAACAGACCCAAGCTACAAAACCTCTTGGAAACTGCAGGTCCCATTTCACTTCTAAATCAGACACCTCCATAATCACCCGAGTGCAGCTGTAGTTCCTGGGGGTAAGCACCTGAATGCAAACAGGTGCCCAAGGAGACTACTGGAGTTAAACCATGGTCTGTAGTTCTCTCTGCTATGCTATAGGCATCTCTATTGTACCTCCCTACCAAACGGTTTTCATGGTTTCATGGCTAGGCTTCGCAAAGGAAGATTTAGGAAGACTCTATCCACATTTGTTACAAACCAAATGGACACTCCACCCTAAATATGCTACAAAATTAGCAGGATGCTACTAAGTAGGTACAACATGCAAAACATAGTCAGAAATGCTAGAACTAATTTCCAAGTCTTTGAGGTATCTAATCACCTCTCATGTTCCAATTTTTTTTTGGTCAAACCTGCATGTGGTAGATAGCAACATACAACTAACAACAGAGAAAACAGGAATTCAGTATCACATAGTAAAGCAAAACAGTAGACAAAATACATATTTTGGGGAAAAAGTTATTCTCTCCATAAAAATAGCAAAATCATCATCTTGGCAGAGTTATTTGTAACATTCTGTGAGACAAAATTTGAACTTTTTCTTTAAGTTCTGACTATGATTATTCATTTACAGATCATTTTTGTTTCTAGAGAAACCAAGGAAAGAAATACTTTGATTCTTTCCTTGTTTGATCCTTAACATCCATGCTGTGGTCTTCTACCCTTAAAGGAACAAGGTATCTACGAAATATCTTAGCACCAGGCTGCACTTCAAAACATGCACCTACAGTGAATATTTACAAAGAAGTAATTCATTAATACGGGGGGAAGACGACAGAAAAAACAACAGTAGGTTTTTTAATTAATTTCTGTGTACTCAAACTCGTCTTACAACCACCTAATTTCCCAATTATCATTAATTTTACAATCCACTGTAAACATAGTCTAATTCTGCAGTGGATGAATGTGTAATAAAATTCAGGTGACTTTATCCATATTTAGCACTCACTCAGCGTCTCTCAAACACTCCCTTATACACCAAATCCAACCTGTTTATCCCTAACTTCCCTAACGCTCCGGCATTTAGAAGACACTGAAAGTCGCATGCTACTAGGAACATTCACCTGCAGCTACCTTCTCCTGGAGCCGCATACCTCTCACAACCATAATACTGTAATAGTATTGCAGCACCATACTTAAGGCACTCTATGCGGACTTGAGCAAAGATAACAGATACCTTTACAATCACAGTTCACCCCTGCACTAACAAAAGCCACAAACATTACCAAGAAGTATGAGTAAACATGAAAGTGACAAGGAAGAAAAAACTGCTGCACTGCTCGATGTCAACGAAGATTGCTAAATATACAGGGATGCAAATAGCACCTGGGCAATGCTCCAGTTACCTGCTGCAACTTTCATGGGCTCCACTCCACACAACTGTACAGCTTACATGGTTCTGCTAATGTGCTGCACTGTCTAAATACAGTGGTTTTGACTAAATGCATTTCAGGGCTTAATTGCATTAAAGGATATGCTGGTTTACCTAAAGGTGAGATTTTAAACAAATTTAGCTCAACAAAGTGATGTAAAATTATATAGACATCATCGTGCCTAAGCAGGTTAATTCAGTTTAGGAAAGCTTAGATTTAAAACTGGAAGTCGCTGCAATCCCAACTCAGATGCCTGGCTCAAATTTCATTAAATTCAAGAAATAACCTGCTCATGAACATGAATATCCCCTCCATATTACTACTTGATTACAACACATCTACAGTAGCGAGACTCCTCATATGCATTTTCTCAACTATATAATAGCATCGAACAACCCAAAAGATCTGAAATACTTCAGAATGCACAAGTGCCTGTGCTTGTAAAACAAGTGTTTTATTTCCCAAAACTGAAATTCAAAATCTTCCTGCCTTTAAAGGAAATATCCTGATAATAAAGCTTTTCTGTTCTTGTACACCACTACCCCACTTACATCTTATCTTTTGTTTAGGAGTATTGAATGATAGCAAAACATGGGACTTTCAAAAAACAAAATCCCTTTTCTTCACAAATATTACTAAGAAGATACACCTATATAAAAATTTGAAGATTTAGTATAAATTAAAATCTTTGAAATAGTTTAGTATCTAAGCCCTGGTCATATATTCCAGCTAGCAGCCACCAAAGCAGGCAGGAGTCAAACTGGAATTTGTTTAGAATACAGATGGACAGACAACCAAAGGGCTGGATTCAGCCTGCAAAGCAGGCTTTTGTTAGGCCACCAGCAATGCCTGCTAGTGAGCTACTAGAAAAGCCAAGTCCAGCCCATCAGTCAGCCAAAAAAACTGTGGATCCTGTTGGGAGAGGAAAGCAAGTTTGGTAGACAGGGTGTGTTACTAGGTCAGTGCCTAAATTCAGTCCACTCTCTTTCAGGATAACCCAGGAAGCAATACAGCCACTACGGAGAAGCAGGGGGCAGAAATAAGACCTGACTTAACTAATGCAGTGAAACACCAACTCAAGTATTTCCAACTACTGTCATCCAACCTGAAGAGCTGGAGTCAAGGGCAGAGAATAAACCCCGGAGCTGGGCTGGGTTCAGAAGAGTTTATTACCTGAGTCATCACCATCCACTCCAGAATCAGGCTGGTTCCTGCAGAATCATTCAGGTAATCCTGCATCATGTGCCCAGTGCTCTGGGAAGGTTTCCAGCCAGATGTAGTGCTGCACTACAACCAACAGCACCCAAACAAGGAGAGCAAGAGACACTCTGAACAGGCTGACACTGAGACCGATTTGACAAGTTCAATAAGGCCAAAGCTCACTCTATTCAGCCAGTTTTCTGCTTCACACTCTCTCAAATTCCCCATTATAGCACCGCAGCAAAAGGACATTTCAGACCAGCTGAGCACAGTGAAAGCACTAGTCAGTCAGGATATGTTAGTTCCACCTAACTAGTACCATCTTTAGTACAGCAGTAAATTGGGTGTACTGCTTCCAGATTACAACCATCTCTGGCATCACTCTCACCAAGTTTGCAATCTAACATCACGAACGCTGTCAGACACAACCTAAGTACATATCCTAGGCACCTCTTCTCCCTTAATACACCCTCACCCCATACTCCCTGTCAAAATTCCTGCAGTTTGCTCAGATACATAGCAGACAACACAGTCTGGGTGGCCAACCACCTCTCTTGGAATAATGGTAATTCTGGCCCACAGGCTCTCAGTCGGCTGAAACCACATAAAAACTAAGACAACTTAGTGGAGCAACATCATCTTTGAGCAGCTGGGGATCTCTTCAACACCTGAGTTTTTCACAATACCACAACTACCATTTTTATGCATTGCTTGGACTAACTCAGTCTCTCACGTCCCCCGATAACAAAAGGTTGATTTCTTTGCTTTGCTGCTGATTGCAACTATCACCCTCAGTACCACTCTGACTCTATGAACATGGCTCTCAAGCGTAAGAAATCACCTGACTCAGGTTGCAGTTTTTGACACTATAATGCAATCAAGCTGCATTTTTCCTAGTTTAAAACTGAAACATTTCTAAGACAGAATCAAACCCCACATATAGGCCTGTTATGGCCACAGAAATATACTTAAGGATGCAGTCTGTGACGACTATGCCGTTTCCAATGATCTGCAGATACCCTTATAATTCTGAGGAAAAGTGCAACAAATAATGGCTGCCACATGCAAGACAAGTTCCAGCAGTAAACACCTTCCTACTTTTACTAATGCTGTGTAGCATCATGCAAAAAGCAGCTATTCTACAGGCTTGCCAGTGCCCAACTTTAAAACATCTGCAGTCAAGAATTTCAAAACTATACTGCGTGTGCAGACTGTTGCAGAAAAATGGAACATAAAATATAAGGTTTCTGATACACATCCATCTGACTTTCTTAAATTCATAGCCTTCGGTTTTAAACTCCTCTATCAAAAGTGTTTTGAATATAGTAATCACTATACAAGGTTGTGAAGGAAAGCGCAGAAGGCATTTACACGCTACCACTAGACAGGGTCAACACCAAATTCTGTTCAATAATGGAATATTAAATCCACAGATGAACAAAATAATTTACAGAGAAAAAAAATGAGGGTATTTCTGTTCAGCAAATAAACAACTGTCATCATCTACATCCTTTCTAAACAATACTATTTGCTGCTCCCTTCACATTCTGCAAAACAGTAATTTGTTATTTGGTCTTTTTTGTTCAATAGTAAAGTCACCTTTAATTAAGAAAGGTAAAGACAGGACCAGGATAAAAGATGCACACATACACCACAACGCTTGAAGGACGCAGGAGAGTTTCTGAAGGTTTCTAAAGTTTGATTTCACTTAATTACATAGAGGTCAAGTAAGACACAGGGGGTGTGAGATGCTACTTCCCTCTGGGCCGCCTGACAGCGGCTCTCTGGGCCCGGGGCAGGGCTGGCTCTCCTCTCCCAGCGCAGACCCGGCGGCCGCCGGAGCCGCAGCCAGCGGAGGCCCCGGGACCGGGTGCGGCCCCCACCAGCCGGCGGCGAGACCGGGGGGCAGCGGGCCGCCCGCTCCGGCCCCACTGCTCCGGCCGGTGCCGCCGCCCGCCGGCTACGGCGGGTGCACAGGGGCGCGTCCCGACCCTCCGGGGCGCCGCTCGGCAGCTCCGGAGAGCCAGCTCTGCTCGCCCGAGCGCCGGGGCGGCAGCGCGGGCAGGGCACAGGGTGCCTCCGAACGCGGGCAGGGGGAACCGCGGCGCCGCGCCGGGCTGCAGCCTCACCATAGCTCGCTCCGGGGCCTGCGCGGAGGCCCGGCCGCCCGCCGCTCCTGCTCCGGGACCTCCGTCGGCTCCGTCCGCCATTTTGAGAGCGAGGGACGCGGCCGGCGGCGCCGTCACGGCCCAGAAGGAGCCGCCGCCGTCACCGGGCGCTGCGCCCGCAGCCCAGGGCCCGCCCCGCGCGCAGCCGCCGCGGCGTTCCGGCAGCGCCTCCTGCCTCCCGCTGCCCGCGGGGGCACAGCGCGTCCCCGGCATCCGTTGGGACGGTCTCCACCGAAGCTCGTGTTGGTCCTGCGTGCAGAGTTACATCGATGGAGCTCCTCCGCAGACACTTAAAACTGCACTGCGTGGGTGTTCACTTCGCGCCCTGCCATCACAGATTCAGAGAATCGATTAGATTGGAAAAGACCTCTAAGATAATCAAGTCCAACCTATGACCGAGCACTACCGTGTCAATCAGACCACGGCCGCAAATGCCATATCCAGTCTTTCCTAAAACACCGCCAGGGACATTGACTCCACCACCTCTGGCAGCCCCTTCGAATGTCTAATCACCCTCTCTATGAAGAAATTCTAACTAATGTCCAACCTAAACCTCCCCTGGCACAGCTTATGTCCTCTCATCCTATCGTTAGTTTCCTGGGAGAAGAGGCCAATCCCCGCCAGGCCAGCAAGATAATAACATAAGTAATTTCATATGCACGGAGTCTCACCACTAAGCAAAGGCAAAATTTTACAAACTAGGTACAAGTGTAGGATGCAACAGTAGCTTTAAGCAAAGACCTGTCTTCAAGATTAAAATCTTCCTCCACACCTCCTTCCTACAGCATATCATAACTGTTCTGAGTACTTCACATTTGCTACTTTTACAGAAGATTAAGGCATTCAGGAACTTGATTGATATATGACAGACCTGGCCTAAGTGCTGCTGGAAGTTTTCCGAATTGTTGCAGTCTAATTGCACAGTTCCCTGTGTTTGTACCTTCTTAAGGCTGGGCAAATAGGCAAACAGCCATAGCATTGGATCTTGGGGGCATACATATCCACCTATCCACCTATCAAATGCCTGATATCTCTATCAGGAAGACTGCCTCCTTCCATTGTAGTCTTCCTGTTTCAATCCTCCAAGCAGCTTTTCCATGTTCTTCAGTTGTCAGTACAGATGGGATAAAGTTTGCAGGTGACCTTCTCAGTATATTCAATGATTTTTCTCACTGCATCTGGCATCAGGTACTCTTAAAGTTCTTCTCTTATATCTTCAGAACATCTGAATGTAGCTTTTCTGTCATAACTACCACCCATCTTCATTTTAAGAAGTCCTGCAGAGTTCTTTACATTATTGAAATCTGTCACTTAAAATCACTGTGTAGATATTATCACTGAGACAGGATTAGGCATAAGATGTAAAAAAGACAAAGTGAATTTTGCCACTGAGCCACTTAACCATTAATTCAAAGCTTCATCTCATTTTGTCTATCCATGTTGCTGATCTATAACCAATCCTTTTTAACAGCACGGTCGACTGCTAACCAGATGTGTTTGCACAACATCCAAGTGTAGACTGTGATTACTGGAGTCCTCCACATGTTTTAGCTTTAACACTAGCAATTGCATAATCCACTTTCCAACACAGTTGAGCAAGAAAAGCAAGGCAGAATTCCAAGAAAGCAACAAACTCAGTCAAGTGCAGAAGGGCTGCCTGCAGCCCTCTGTGCTGTGAGACAAGCAGCTTGCATGGCCATGTCTTGTAGCTGAACTATCAGTGTGGTTTCACTATACTGTGGTGACTTTTAGAATTTATGCTGATGCAAATCAACTTCTTTAGTTGAACAAGACTTATTGTTAGACTTATTTAACAAAATAACACAAACAAAGACTTGGAACCCACATGCTGGGAGACAGCAAAGAAAGTGGCAATGAATCTCTGAAAAAGCAAGTTGGCACCCCTGCCCGGGCAGAAATGGCACAAAACACCAAGATCTCCATGGATACTACAGTAATAGAGGAAAGAAGAACAAAACAGGGATTCAGATCAATTTTAATAGAGACAAAATGCCGAAGTTTGGCAGCCCTGCTGCCAAAAAATATTTACACAATAAAATGGTAGACCTCCAGGAAGAAAGGGAGAAAACCCCAGTTGTCAAGATTACTCCTGAAGATTACCAGGATTACTGATTGCTAACTGTTGATTTAGAAGCAGTTGTTCAGGGTGTTCTTTGCGGGCAAGAGGGAGCAGACAATCAAGATGGAAGGCAGCTGAAAACAATCAAAGCAAACAAACATACATGAAGTCCTGCAAAAGAGAGGCTAGATTATCAAGAACATCTGAAAAGGGGTGTATTATATTAATAAAGTTTAACTGATCTGAAAAGTTAAAACGCAAAAATGCCAAAAATTAAATCTTTATCCTATGGCAAATCATAAAATATAATGAAAATTACGCAATATTGAATTAGAAACTTCTGATATCTGAAGAGTTGTTTAAGAATACTACATTAAATATCAAAGAAAATGACAGAAGCTTTTTCAGCTAAACTCATGCTTAAGATGGTAAGAAAAAAATCTCAACAGTAAATGTGGGCGCTAGTTAGGAAACAAAGAATTAATAGCAAAGAATAACGTAGCAATTATGAATCTGTGTAGTTGCTATAGCAAGGTTTAAAATGGTGTATATGAAAAAGAAATGTTCAAAATACCATAAAAAGACTCTTTAAGTATGTCGGGACCAAAAAAGGTCAATTGCCTAGATATCAGAGCAGGTAGAATTATAAATACTATCAGGAAAAAAAAGCGAAAGTTTACATGCTATACTCGGAAGATAGCAGGATGAGACACTGATCTTTTCGTACGTCTGGGTTTTGTTTTGTTTTGTTTTAACCTAGGCGTTTCCAGGCACCGCTGCGGCTGGGAGGGGGAAAAGCGGGCACGCTCAGGACGCAGGGAGCGCAGGCAAGAGCCGGAATCCCCCGACCTCGCCGGATAAAACGGCCGAGAGAAGGAAAACGCCCACCCCCGGCCCCGCTGGCACCGGTCCTCCGAACCAGCCGCGGCCGAGCGCGGGGCGGCCCGACAGCTGGGGGGGTGGGACGCGGAAGTGCCGCAGCCGGCGGTGCTGCCCGGCGGGAGGGCGGGAGACGGGAGCACTCTCCAGGGGCGGGCACGGTGGCGGCGCGGCACAGGATGCTGGGGCTGGCGGCGGGGCTACTGGCGGCAGCCGCCGTGGCGCTGCTGCTGGACTGGTACGGGCCGTCGGGGGCGCCGCCGGCCGCGGAGCAGCGCCGCCGCTGGGCCCCGCATCCCGCCCCTGGCGCGGCGGCCGCCGGCCTGCTGTGGGTCGTGCAGGTGAGTGGGGCCCGGCGGGGGCGAGGGGCGGCCGCCGAGCTGGGGGCAGAGCGGGCACACCGGAGTTACAGGTGTTTTGCCAGGCTGCCCGAAAGGTAATGGAATACATTCAGTGCCTGTAGGTCGGTGTGCAGCTTCAGTAGAGCTGCAGGTTGAGCTCTGGGGAGCGGGAGCCCGAGGCAAGAGGCCGTGACCTGCCGACCCCGGGCATGACAAACGGCCCGGAGACCAGTGGCCCGTCCAGGTGACCGGACACTCGGAGACACGGCAGGAGCCGACGGCCCCCAGCCTTCCCCCCCTCAGACTGTGAGGATATAAAAGCCCAGGGGTTCCTGTTTTCGGGGTCCCTCCTCGGAGACACCAGCTCGAGCTGTTACTTTGTTATTTAGTAATTGCACCATGATTAAATTATTTTAAGGATCTCGACTTCTGAGACTCTTGTTATGGGAAACCTGGGGCGAGCCGGTAAGGAAACCTGGTCTTGACTGTGAGTGTGGTGCGTGTAGCTGTGAAGGGACTTCGGTCCCAGCTCAGGTGGTATGAGAGTGATTGCCGGAGTGGCTCCCGGAGTGTCCTGGTCGGACAGGGAAGTTTCCTTAACAGATAAGGTGGAAGCACGTAATTAGTAATCAATCACCTAATTGTTACACTATATATTGCATCACTCCCTGATGCAGTATTGTCTAATATCCCAGTGAGAAGTGCAGGCTCTGCCTGTTCCTTTCCCCTTCCAAAACTCAGAAAGGTTGTGTGGCTGAAAAAATAGTTATGCCGATTTTTAGCAATAGAACGAACTAGACTAGGGTTCAGAAGGTTAAATGTACATAGCTTTGTTTCCAGGTTAAACATAAAGTCCAAGTTAACCTGGCATAGTCCTGGAAGCAAATTGTCACGTCTGAGTTCTTCTGTGGCCTCTTCTGACTCTTCTCCCAGGAGCGTTCTCAAAGCACTTAATGTAGAACTAGCTGCAAAGCTGTTTACATATTTTCAGTTAATGGACAGCTGAGTTGTCACAAGGGTTGCTGTGCATTTCCTTCGAACAAATAAGCTGCTTTTACTGTTTTGTTTTTATTCTCAATCTCAAGAACACTTTGTCCGAATGTAAGAACAGGTGGTGTTCTTAGTGCGTGAGCTGGTGCATTATTAGTCCTTTTGTTCTCTCAATTTGCTGTGTATTTTCAAAGTAGTTTTTTTCAGTAATTTTTCCTTAAGTGACTTAAGACTTATTTTTACTGCAGAGTAGATTTCAAGACGATGTATGTTTGAATTAATGTAAGTAGAGTCCCTGTCTTGCGTTGCTATCTTGTAAAGAGTCAACTACACCAGCATATAGCAGCTGCAGAGCTGTACTGACAAGCAGCATGCACAGCTCCATGCTTCTCTTGCCATGTTTTCTCTGGTTGTGTTACTTCAAGTGCTGTTCTCCCAAGGATAGGTCACACCACAGATAATTTAAGACTTGGCTTTATTTTCAAGTGGTTATATTCTCTTTCAGGTGTCCTCTTTAGCAGCTGCTTTATCGTTGACCTAACTTGGAAATTAATCAAGCACTAAATCCAGCACTGTGCCTGATGATCTTGTGGGAAACAGGCTTCAGGCTCCCTGGTGACTCCATAGGTCTAGCCTAGGTCACTGGATAGAGGCCAAGATGATCCTGAAGTTCCTTGCCTTGTTTTTCCTCCCATCCACAGGACTGTCTTTTCTTAAACTGATATAAATTTAATCTTTGTACTACAATCTTCTACTAATTGCTCTTCCACCTTTCTTATATCAGGATTTCCTTTCTTACCCAG